AGTCCAACCATTTTTAAACGCATACAGAAAAATACTTGCTTATATTTCGAAATTTAGCTAATGTGCGGTTGCAAACTATTTAAGTAAATATTTTTGTTTGGGCATTCAACAGGTATTTCAGCACTTTGGTTGCACACAAAAACAGTCACACGTCCAGATCTAAAATGGGTTCCATCAACTGCAAGGAATACAAAACCACAAATGAGACCAACGCATGCGCAAATAATACAAGTTATAACGGTATGTGTCACAACGCTTAACCAAATCGATAGGAATTCTAAGGGCGGGGGGGGGCAATTTCGTCTACATCGAAGTAAAGTAATATGTTAACTACCACCCAGTTGCCACCTAAAGGCAAATAAGCATATCCAGTTTAGGCGTGACCTAAATTTTTTCTTTTTAATAATAATTATGTCGCTCCACAATTATTATTTAAAAATTTAAAATAGATAAAAAACTAAACATTGAATTAAATCTTCAGAACTGAGTTTATGGAATTTCAAATAAAATCAGGTAGAGCATTTAAGTAAAGTGCATTACCCGTGGTGCTGAAAAAGTGGGCATCTAAATGTCAATATGGGTCGTTGTTGGGAGTCAATTTCGGAAAAGTCGCAGACTTTTGAAAAATTCATAGTTTACAAAAATCAGTCGCATAGAAGATTGCTTTCATGGCTTTTTTTTTGAATGCCAAAATATTGTCTGCTATATAAAAATGATCTAGTGGTTACTGATCTATTGGTCTACACGTGGGCTTTTGTGTTTGAGTCTTTTAACAGTTTAGTACAATTTTGGTATTAAATACCCAACTCAGATTAGACGTCTTCAAAGCTAAAACAAAGCATTTAATCTGAAACCAACATGTGATAATTGCTAGAAAAACTCGAAAGTTCAATGTCGATAGACAATGACAGGCTTGCGGTATCGTTATTGTTAGAAGGTTTTCGAATGCTTATAAAAATTGAGGAAACATCTTCATTATACTATATATTACACTATATTAATAAATTTTTGTTACAATTCAATCACAAGTACAAAAAAAATTTGAGGCATAAGCTGTAAATAATTTAGGAAACAATGTCGTCTTGTTTACTATAGGAGTTTGTTTAGATGTTTAAAATTCATTAAGTGAACTATCTATCTATTGCAAATGAATAATTGAAAGTTGAAGTTATGTAAACTACTTTTTAATTTAAAATATTACTATTGTATTTGTGGGAAGCACATATTTTCAAATAAAAAATTACTCCACTTAATAACGAAATCATATATCTTCAAAGTCTGATATAATTACTTTAACGTTGTGTTTTAACTTAGTTAGGCACTGATTGCTATATACTTTCTAATTAATGTTAATTTTTATTTGGAGACTTTATATGCTGTATGATGTTTTTAATATTTGTAAATGAACTTTTTATTGTTTTTACCTAAAACTTTAACTGAGTTTCTTGTGTTCTTTTTTTGTCACAGAATTGTGTGCTGTGATTGCCCCATAGTTCATATTACGAGTTCAAAAGCAATATCAGGAAAATGACGCCAATATCTTTGTAAAGTGTCCCTAACAATTTCTATTATGAATCCCAATAACATTTGGGTTCAAATATAAGTACATATGTATGTATATGGTTATACCTGTAAGAAATATTGTATTATTGTGTTGTATTATAAGAAAAATGTATTTTCTTATAATACAATAAATACGATTTTAACCTTATATATAAAGAATTTCTATAGTTATTAAATTAAATTCAATACTAAATTTCTTGTGGTATTGAATGTGTCGTGGCTGTGAGCGATCAATAAATGGATAACATTTTATATTAGTTTAAAGTATTTTATTGTATTGGGAGCGAAAAACTAATTGCTTAAAAATAATTGATAAAATTTTCAAAATAATATTTTATTACGTCAGCTGCAGGTTCTTGATATTCGTTTTTTGTTTTTAAAACTATTCAAAACAAAACAAAAGAATTATTGATAGCAAAAACAAAATACTTAGTTTTTTCATGTATAACAACAAGACCGCGAGATTGTGGAACAAGATTGTGGATAGAAACTACTGCAAGCCATAGAACCAGTCTTTTGAGAACTTCTGAAGTGTGCGAACGTCTTAGGTGAGAGGAAAGAATTTAAAAGGAAAAACATTTTATTGAATTCCAATTTACTGTAAGCTAAATAAACAATTAGTATTCTTAATTTGTAATTATTAACGTTACGACTGTAAGATAAAAATAATTTCACATCGGTTCCAGCATTGAGTGACTCATTGCATGACTGTCATTATTGTTAAAACGATTTAATAGACCTCAACTGTTAAGGTCAGTCTGTTGCGACAAGAAAATAATAAAAACTACGTTAAGTTTAGTGCAATCACTATCAGCAGATGTTGAAAAAATATTTGAAATGTGTTGACTACAACAGAGCTGCTATTGAAAATATGTACATACATATTTCTACATTCTCTGTAGTATGAAAAGCACTCCGATCCGAGGCAGTCCTATCCGATGATAGGATAGCTGCGATCACTCCAGTTTGTCAGTTGGACCGATTTTCCGACTATGTATGCAATCAATGGAGTTTATTTTTAAAAATTAATTTGCATATTCAAAGCTTCCAAAAATTGGTTCTTAATAAACCAATATTGCACTGTAAATACCACAAATAACTAACGCAAAAAAGTGTTTCAATATTTGTTGAGATATTTTACAAATCACAAGTACGTATTCAAGTTTTATATATCTATATTTACAATACATATGTCGTAATATATCTAAACACAAAGCAGAACACTTTTTTTGTATCAGTTGTTTGCACATCTTCTCTAACATTAAACTTACTATAGCATATGATACATGCATGTCCTGGCCTACTAAATCCTGCTGTTGTGAATTTCCGGTAATGTAAACTTTATTCGATTAGATCACGATACACTGTTAGCATTCAAATTCATTGTTATTGCGGGGTTAATTTGTAATCCAAATTCTTTTTGTAAAATCCAGACTAGATATATAAAATCAAATAAATTGAAATTTTAAACAAATAAGATGGTATGCAGCGTAAATCAAGTTAGTCGCTAATGGTTTATGTACATTGAATATTCGCAAACTCATTGCGATACGTAGAAACCTATTTTTTAATTATCCACCATATATGACGTCAGCTAAGGCATTATTCTGCAGACATTGAAAACTTGTATTTTAAACAAATAAAAATGAGTCAGCAAAATATTTTTAAATGCCGTACAGGAGAACTCGTTTTCGATTCTAATCGTATCATGGCCAAAAATGACTTATTTCGCACATTATTTATGAAGAACTGACATTCACTTTTTCAGTATTCGCTTTTGGCAATACTATACACAATAAAAAATTATGGCCGATTTTTACTACTTCGTCTTTGGTATTAGGAAACCAGCCTGCGGTGTTCACTAGCTTGGAAAGAGTTTGGAAAGACTCGTCTCTTCAGGTTTCAGGCACAATAATACGTTGCTTGCTAACAAAATTGCCTTCAAACAATTTCAAGACACGTTTCGCCGTGCATGTTGTGTATATAAATGTATATATATATACTTCGTTTTGTTTTGTTATTGCTAATTAAATACAGTAAACTCAAGCTTTACGAAGCTACATTTTAGCTTACATTCTTACTTATTACATTCTAGTACTGCCTACTTTGATACTTATTACACAGCTAACTTTGAAAATTATTTAAAAATATGTAAAAGTGATTAATTCAATGTTTTTTATTTTTGTTACTTAGTTTGATATCTTAATAATATAAAAATACATATTTCGAACAGTTTTCATCTGTTCATGAGTTTACCTGGTCCGAAATAAAAAGTGTGCAAAAAAAATGCTTTTTTGAATCAAATGAAAATTAAAATAAACAGAAATAAAAACTAATATATTTGTTAAAACATGTGTTCACAAAAGTCCAAATATAATTTTCGTAATTTTTGCCGACGCCTTAGTGACAGTTACCATACGTGTCACCAGACGCCGGCGAAAAAAGGCGTGTGGTAAATCACACGCTGGGTCCTATAATACTATAATGATGAAACAATCAATATAAATATTTGTCGTTAGATAATGAAATCAAATGGGAGTAATCTCTCTAATAAATATCATACTCTTCTAACTAACTTAAAGTAATGTTTTTTACTATGCATAATAGTAATAAGTCTATTTTGAAATTTGATTGCTGAAGTTAGTCTGAATTTGATTGTTTTATATAGGGCTTATATTTGTCCTTGTTGAAAGTTCTGTAGTCGATTTTTAACTGCAAATAAAATTATAATGTCGTGCCTCAGATATCTAAGAAATCATATTGACAATTGGAGCGAAGATGACTCATTAGTGCCAAGTAACATCCGCTATCTATTGAATAATAATGTTTGCTACCTGATAATGTTGCTGGAGAATCTGACAATGAAATGATTGACGATGGTGAAATATCAACAAACATTACATGCGACTTTAGAATTTTGTTCTCCTTTTTTGAATTCCGTTTGTCTAATTGTGAGAGAATATTTTGATATTATTGAAGTTGTATACGAATCAAATGCACAAGATTATGGTAGTGTTGTAGAAATGCCTAAGTCGCTACTATTCACATTGGAACTTGTAAAATCAATACGTTTCGGTTATAAGCTGTGAACCCTTTCTTTGGATAGTGGGTATATTTTCCAGTTTCTGCCATACTCCAGTGCAACTGATAAATACAACAAACAATTAAGAATCGGTGCATTTGTTCTAAAGGAATTATTCAACCATTGTGAGTATCCATTGCAAAATACTTACTTGAACCCATAGTAAATGTCTAACACTATAGCAGAGAGAAAAAAAAGGTTGGTGTCCCAGAGTCCCAAGTTATCAATAGCTACAACCGACATATTGGTGGCGCTGATTTATATGACAATGGAGTTGTTAACTATAGTATCGGGAATAGAAGCAAAAAGGGGTGGTGGCCATTATGGGTACAGTGTTTAGATAGCGCTGTAGTAAACGCTTGGAAACTAAATTGCTTTGTCGCTGCTTCTACCAACACAAAACATATGCCTCAGTTAGACTTCGAGAATTTCATTGCCAGAAACCTTCTTGCATCAGAGAACTCAATGTTCATTACAGAAGCTACCGCTGATGATGATTTGAAAAAAGAAAGTCACAGTGCAGCAGAAGATGTTTATCTTCCGGGAAATTTACCACGTGTAACCGGTATGCGCGCTCCCATAAAAACTCAAAATCGTCACCAGTGTATTGTTCATACACCAAAAGCTACAGTTTTTAACATAAAAACATAAAATTTTATACTTACACGTCTTTTATACAACTTACAATGGTACTTACTTCACCATAAAAGTAACTAAATACCATATTTGCGAACAAAACACATATAAAAATATTTGTACTATCGATGAGAGAAAAATGTGCTAGGGGTCCCAGCGTGTGGTTGACCACACGGCACTTTTCCGGAAAACTACTTTTCACAAAAAAAATTTAATTTTGCAGGGATTATTTTTAACGTAAAATAAGACTTTTCTGAAAATTTCACCATAAAATTCCAAGTTTGAACTTGCCTGGTACTTAATGGGTTAAATGACCAATTTTGTCCCAATAAGAAAAAACCATCAATTCTGAAAAGGTTCAACGGCAAAAGGAACATGTTAGTTGCAGTGGAGACGCCAATCTATCCAATAGAGAACTCAATATATGTTGTTTTGACAAAACCACATAAAAAAAGTATAAATTAATATAATGAATGAATTGCTTTAATATAATGAATTGCTTTAGTAATATTTCTACTAACAACAACTATGTGTGCGCTACTGCCAGTGTTTACGGATTTCATTATAAGGGAACCTCATTCATTTATATAAGGCCGATTTTAAAAAATCTTATGAATTACACGCACATAAAGTTAAGATTTTTTAATATGGGTATTGGGACATTGTTTGGTAACTCGGTATTACTTAAAGTAATGAACTTGCTAACATCCGAATGCCATTTTTAATTCTTTTCCGTAAATTTTAAAAAGAAACTGCCAAAGTATTTGATTTTGTTTACGTTTGTTGTGTATAAAACCAGAAATATTACAACAAAAAATGAATATATTATATGTATTAAAACTTAACACAAAAATTTAATTGTTTTTTTATCTCCATAGTTCTATATTTATTATTATTTTGAATATTCTACAATTAAAAGAATATAATCAGGAAATGCTTTACCAAATACCGAAAAGATTATCTGAGCTGAAGCCTTAGTAATTCGTTAGAACAATAACGTCATAATAATAACAATAACAAATATACATAAAACTTTATAACTTGGTAAGAATATCCCTAATATTCTGACTCAAACTACCGGCATAAACGATATGCTATCACCACTATTTGAGCAACATTTTTTTCGAGACACTTAAACATCTGGCAGAACTTTGCAAAAAAGCAGTGGTCGTAACATTAACTTGGTTACTCGCTCCGTTTTGCTAAAAAAATGGGCCATCTATGATATAGCTTTTTCCTGATAATAATTTCTGAACCCTGATGATAACCCTGAACATAAAAAATTTGATTAAGTAGATTAATGCATGGTGTTACTTCTACCACAGACAAATAATATACATATTGAGAATGCACAAAAAAAAAATGACTAACTCCCTATGATTTTATAGTAGCCAGTTCAAATAACCATGTAAAGCACCATGAGCCTTGGATTGTATAACTATTAAGGCATACAAAAGTTACGTATAAAACAATGATTTTAAGTATTCGAAGCATACAAGAGAGCTGTTGAATGTGTGTATGAGGTGAGATATGATATAGTATAGAAATTGTTACTTTATTTTCTATTCATATTGTTAGTTTGTGTGTGTCATTTATATGGCGACGATTTCCTGTTTTGCGTTCTTATGCTTAATGAGTGTTGTTACATCAAGTCGAAAGTGCAATCAGTGAAGTTCAATTTTTTTATATTTACAAGATTTTATTTCTTTTTGGATAAGAGAGAATAGAAAGGAAAAGGCGAACAATGGTAGTCAGAGACGAAGAAGAGTTGTTTGGTGTTGAGTGGACCACTAGCACTTCTTGTATTCTTCATTGTATTACACACTTACTAAATGATTTCGTATGCAAGGGTACGTAATACGGCGTTTACATTGTGTGATTTAAAGTAGAAGCAAAAATCGAGATTAAAATACTAACCTCGATGTTCTATACAAAAGTTAATCTTCTTTTCGTCAAGATTAGTTTTAAATCTCTTTCAAAATGATGATTATTTCTCAATGCAACTCTGCAAATGTCTTAATGTCGTTTACGATCTTAGAAGAAATCTCTTAATGTCACAGATTTTTTACGATCTTAAGGAGATATGTCAAAATCTATTCAAAACAAGCGTTGAAAATTTGAAAATTCCGATTCGTTCTCTTAATATCACAATGTAAACGTAGTATAAGGCAATATTTCTGAAGTTAGTGCATAGTCTTTGTTTTTGTATATATTTTCCTAAAATATATGATTAGCTTTGTGTGCGTGCAATGCACAAGTTCTTCCAAATTATTATAAATTTGATTTTTGATGCAATTTTATACTGGTCTCATGCAACGATAGTTGCAGCCCAACCATAGTTGTTGTTAATGCAAATGGTAATAATATTTTCGGTAGTGAAGACAGTACTACGCCCTATAGTAGCTATTATATCATGAAGTAATTAATAAACACCATATTGTTAAATATTTAAAATTGTTTTATTTTTATATTTTATATTTATTATTTTATATTTTTTTATTATTATATTGTATATGATATTTTTAACTCTAACATTTTCCGATTTTTCGTGAATCTAAAAGTATATATCTAAAAAGATATATTTTTATTTGTGTACGATCTTAGTTGATCGTAGATTTTCCTAAAAATAGACAAGATTATTTGCAACTTGACAAATGTTAACTGAAGCCAAACATCATTCCGTCAGTTCCACGATAAGAAATGATGATTTTTGATATTTGGTTAATAATTGATGGAAATGACTTTAAAAAAATTGAATACGGATGAATTGTAAAAATATATGGAGCATTCTTCAATAAATGAAAACTGCGAATTTAAGAAATTAAATTATGAAATCTTTTTGTAAAACTAATGAGGTAATTGGAGCAATTCTACTGTTAAATGTTAGTCATTGCATCAAGTTTAAGTATATAAGATGAGCTA